GTAAAGAGCCTGTCCTTGTTGAGTCTCTTGTAATTATTCTTTGGTATTTACCTTATATTTCTCTTTGCTCTTCTATGTCAAATCTTCTATTAAATCCAGGGTTTTTTTTAAATAAAATCCTGAAAGTCTGACAATTCATTAAATGTCCATTTTTTTCCATTCAGGATTATGCTTAGCTTTGCTGGGTCTTATATTTTTGGCTCTTCAATATATGGCAGGCCTGCACAACATACAGCTCACCAAAGGATTTCTGGGGGCCTGCAAAAAAGGTACCTAGAGGATGTTAAACAGGCCTACATAAAATATGACCCATGAACATGATAGATAGATAAATACAGATATAGATATATGTTTGTATGTGTGTGTGTGTATATGAATGTATATACATACACATGCACACACACACACACACACACACACATGCACACACATATACACTGATATATAGTGTTCCAAGACCTGACCTTCAGTGTTTTAGTATCACTGCTGCTAGTTCTCATATGGTTCTAATTGAGGCACCACCATATTTAAATTGTTTTTTCCTTGTTGATCATAATAGCTTACCCTTGAGTTGGGATTTCAGAATTTGACTATGATATTCCTGTGGGGTAGGATCCCTTTCAAGTGGTGATCATTGGTTTTTTTTTTTCTATTTCTGCTTTCTTGTTCTAATGCTTCAGGACAATTTTATTTGATTATTTCTAAAAAAAATAAGCTATTTCTTGTATTGTTGCATCAAGATTCTTTTTTTGGATCATAGCTTTCACATAGTCCAAGTATTTTTATGTTTTCTCTTCTTGATCTGTTCTCCAGATCAGTTGTTTTTCTTAATAAGAAGTTTCACATTCTCTTCTGTTTTTTCATTTGTTATATTTTATTATTTCTTGATCTCTTATAACTTTGTTGACTTCCCCTTGCCCAATTCTAATTTTCAAGGAGTCATTTTCATCCATAAGATTCTGGATGAAAAAAATAAAAATAGAAAGATTCTGGATCTCCTTTTCTAATTGCTTGACTTTCATAATCCTCTTGTTTTTCTAGGATTGTTAGTAATTTAAAAAAAATTTTTCTCATTTGATTTTCTAAAGTTTTTTAAAGTTCCTCTATGAATTTTTTTTGGGCAGGTGACCATTCAACATCACTCTTTGGGTAGAAGAGAGTTTCTTTGTCTCACTGTCCCCCTCTGAAGATGAATCCTGGTCTTCTCTATTCCCATAGTAACTCTCTATGGTTAGATTCTTTCTCCTTCGCCTGTTCATTTTTTTTTTTGTTAACCTCTTAGTTTTTGTAATTTCCTATAGTGTTGGGGTATGAGAGACGGTGCCTCTTGCCCCATATCCTCAGTTCTCCCCTCTGTCCTGGAACTGAAACCAAGAGTTCCAAGCTCTTGTAACTGCCCACAGCCAACACCATCCCTGCCCCACTGATTCTGCACTCAGCAGGCATGTGTTGGTTCCTTCTTGCCCTTGGCTGCTTCTCCGTAGCATGTCTGGTCTGGCATTCCTTGTCAGCAGAGGTTCCCTCGATTTTCCCCAACTCAGACTCCCAACTCCCCTCACTGTCCTGGGAGTAAAAGTTCCTGTGGCTGGGACCAAAACAGCCTCCTAACCCAGCTAACCCCAGGGCTAACCCCTGCTTGTTGTTTAAGTGGACCTACACTGGAAGTGTTTACTCTTCAAAGGGGCCAAACCTCATCCTGGGATTTTTCTCCAGATCTTCTCAGATTGGCTCAGGAGGAGCACTGTTCTTCCTCTACTCTTATTTATTTTTACCACTCTATGTTCTCACTGAGGTGCCATTGTTATCTTGTTTGTGGGAAAAATCTTGAAAGCTTGGAATTTTCTGACCTACTCCACCATCTTCGCAGAATCCTCCATGTGTTTTTTTTAGTAGCATGACCAATATCGATAAACACTTTTCATGACTGCACTCGTATTACCTATATCAAATCGCTTGCCATCCCCAGAAGAAAGGAGGAAAAGGAGGAAAGAAGAGAATTTGGAACTCATAATATCTTTTAAAGTATTAAAAAAAATTACATGAAATAGGAAAAGATAACATTCATAAATAAAATAAACATGGGGATGACAGATGGCTGACCAGGGTGGAAGTACAATCTTTCTTGATTCCAGGTCTTTGTCTCTGTTATTTTTTTCCTATTTATCCTACATGTACCTTGTTTGTACATATCTTTTTGCTTGTCATCTCTCATTAGATTGTGAGCTCCTTGAAGACAGGGACTGTCTTTTGCCTTTTTTTTTTTATCTCCAGTCTTTAGCACTTTAGTAGGCATCTTAAAAATGTTTATTGACTAACTGACAACTGAAAAAGAACTGTAAGAATATACATGGCAAGTCTATCAAAAAGGTTTTAAATAAATGGGGTGGGGAAGGAAGAAGTGGCTGAGGACTATCCACCCAGCCGGACACCATAATGAGTAGCTAAAATGAAGAAGACCAGCAGGTGAGAGCCTCGTAACTTCACAGCAGACAAAATCCAAGGAAGGAGCCAGTAGTAAAATCCATGGCTTTGAAGGTTAATACACAAATGTCCAAAGTTTAGAAAATAAGACAAAGGAATCGGAGGTCATGATGTAAGAAGGCAAACCCAGCCTGGTAAGTAAGTGCAGGGTAGTTGGTCTTTGAAAGACCAGACCTAATGATATCAAAGGGGCCAAGGAGGAGGTATTAAACTGACTGGAGATTCAGCTCCTTTCTGAGGTGCAGCCAAGTTCATTGACTGAATGAGAAGTCCCAGAGTCAGTGAGTTCCATTGAGCCCAGGTAGAAACCATTGGCCCTAAAGGAATCTCAGAGAAGAAAACCCAGGCTTAGACAAGTCCCAGGGAAAGGACAGCTCTTTCCATGGCTTCCTCTCAAGACATCTGTCTTTGCACAGACATCATAACATGGCCAAAGTCATAGAACATAGAAAAACAGCTCAGTAAAGTGGACAAAATGATCATGTCTGAAGCTCTATGCACTATTCTGACCCCAAAGGCAGCCCTGCTCCCTATATCTCTACAGAAATCATGGAATTGGGATCTAGTTGGGACCGGGGTCAGCCTTTGGAATTCACCTGCATTTCACAGCCTTCCAGGGTTATTTTCTTTTATATTAGTGTCCTCATTTTATGTATTGTTGACATAGTCCTGCTTATTTCGTTGTTCATTTGGATAATACAAATTTTCCCATTTTCTCTGAATTCCTCACATTTTGTTATTTCTTCCATAGCCCAAATCCACTGCACAGACCCACCCTTCCATAGAAAATTTACTGTTGGGGCTGGACTGGGGCCAAATATTTGCACCTAGGCACCCATGCATTTCACAAAGCTGGCTTTTGATCTTGAAGGAACTTTTGCCAGGAAAGGTCAGCCAGAAAAGGCAGACAGTGAAGCACAGCAGAGAGACGGTGACATGAAAACAGTTTGTCTCATGGTCTTCCTGCCATAGAGTATGTGAGGTGGGTGCCCAGCTCCCCTGCTGATGAGAATGGAGAGCAAGTGAAAAGCATGGGCCAGGATCTGAAGTGAGGAGCTGACCACAAATCAGAATGAGAAAACCATGAGTGGACATGCACAGGGGAACGATGATGATGATGATGATGATGATGATGATGATGATGATAGGTATCATTTCCATAGTGCTTTAAGATTTGTGAAGCACTTGGCAAAAATCAAAATCTCATTTGATCTTTACAACAACCCTCAGAATAGATGCTATTTTTATCCCCGTTTTAGTGAGGAGAAAACTGAGGCAGACATAGGTTAAGTGACTTGCCAAGGTCACACAGTAAGAAGTAACTGAGCCTTTCTTGTGAACTCAGGTCTTCTTGACTCCACATCCAGTGTTCTATCCATTGAGTCACTTAGATTCTGCACAAAATTCAGAGAGACAGAGAGAGAGAGAAAGCTTGGGTATATTTCACACAAAGAGAGAAGGACATGAGAGAAAGCAAAGCAGACTGTGAAAGGGAGATCAGACAGAGAAGAGGAAAATGAGGACTGAGCTATGTCAGGAAAGCCTTGGTGGGAGACAGTATTCAGGAGGAAGGCATGGTCAACATGCCTCAGAGAGGTTAAGGAGGATGAAGACTGAGAAGGTCCAAGGGGCAGCTACATGGCCCAGTGGATAGAGCACCAGCCCTTAAGTCAGGAGGACCTGAGTTCAAATCCAGCCTCAGACCAAACACTTGACACTTACTAGCTGTGTGACCCTGGGCAAGTCACTTAACTCCAAATTGCCTAAAAATGAAAACAAAAAAATAAAATAGAAATGAAGAGACTGAGTCTCAAAGTATTCAGCTGCCTTAATCTTGGTAATTTTCAGAGGGGGAATTAAAACACAGTCTACCCAAACCCCCTGCTCAGCCATATTGCCACCACATTGCCTGTAACTGCCCCATGACCTGAACCACTATGAATAAGTCAATGTTTCCTGTATTCCACTGGCTTTCAACTAACTCAGTCATGCCAAAGCTACCCTTCTTTAACCTCAAGTTGATATTCAACCAATGCATTCCATAAATTTATCTTTGTCATACTTAATCCAGAAAACTGGCACTACTCTCTGGTTTACAGTGAAAACATTTCTCTTTCCTGGAAGTATCTGGAGCTCTGTTTCCAGGTCTCCCTCTTATTACCTTGGACTCCATATGCAGGCTTGAGTTCTACTAGGGATCCTCTGGGCATAGGTACTCCCATAGAATGGGTATTTAAGTGCCCAAGCTTGGTGCTGATGTTTCCTTCCAGCTAGATACTAAACCTGTGCCAGTTTTTCTTCATCAATAGTCTGAAGTATTTTGGCATCCTCAACTGCACACAGACCTGAGAACACTACCTACTTACACCACTCCATCAAAGTGAGGAGGAAGGTTCTGAGGGAGGGGTCCTCACTGGTCTAAAATTACCTCCTGTGTTTTGTGGTAGCCAAATGACTACTTTCTTCACTCAGTAGCTCTCTGAAGAAACTCCCTTCTTGGAGCAGGCATTCCAGTCCTGATGGCCTTTGAGGATCTCTTACCTGAAGTTGGAGATAAGGGAAGATTCCAGATCCTTCAGGTCTTTTTTTTTGCTATCCCTATGATACTTATTGGCAGTCATTTTCTGCTAGAGAACTTCACTGCTTTTGTCCCTGAGCACCGGTGCTGGGTTCACTTCCTTGACAATACCTCGGCTTTGCTCAATGTCAGTGGGAATCTTAATTTTAGTTCCCTCCTAAAATTTTCCATCCCCCTGGATTCCAATGGGAACCCAGAGAAGTGTCGCCGATTCTTCTGGCCACAGTGGCAGTCCTTGGGGCCAAATGTCACAGGCCAAAACGTGAGCCAGCTGGAGATGGAGCCGTGTGTGGATGGCTGGGTTTATGACCAAAGCATCTTCACTTCTTCCATTGTGACTGAGGTAGGAGGTTCTTCTGCTGCCCCTTTCCTATCCCAGGAAGATTTCATTTTCCTCTTCAAAAGGTGACACTGATTTGGGACTTGATTCCCTTGGTGAATGGTAGAATCAGATTGCTCTCCTCTGCCATCCGTCCAGCTCACAGCTCCCTTTGTGATAAAAAGTAGTGAGGGATCCCTTGATTAGGTCCTGCTGCCAAACACCAAATACACAATGCAAAGAACATTATTCTGCAGATTTTTTTATGCTGAAGGCACAGACTCTTCTGCATGGGGGAAAAAGTTATTGAGCTCAGAGCTTCAGCAACCTGATATACAATATGAAATACATAAGCCCTATGGGTACAATGGAATTTCACAGAAAGCAGGAGGGGAGGTTATGGGTATGCACAAAAAAGCAGAAGATAAAGATGTTTGCATCAAGAAGGTTGGGGTCAAAATGAACTTAAAATTGTTGTCCCAAGCTTGACTGTATGATGTGCAGTTGTGTACAGGAGGCAGTGTCCCTTACTTATCATAGTGGGGCAAGAAACATTTTTTCCCATCACACTTTTTCTCCTTCATAATGGCAGCAAGATTCCTGAGCCCCAAATTCTCTTTCCTCACTTTAAGATCTGATGCTCTCATCCTGTCTTTCAGTGGGACCTGGTGTGTGACTCCCAGACACTGAAGTCCTTTTCTCAGTCAATATTCCTTGCTGGAAATCTGGTTGGATATCTAATATGGGGCTATCTCTCAGACAGGTGAGTTTTACCTGGACACAGATGTTCTGAAACCCAGGGAGCCTAGGGCCATATAGCTTAAAATTGGAAGATGATACTATAGATCATTTAGTCCAATTCACTCATTTGACCAAGGAGGAACCCAAGCCCCATGGAAATACAGAGACTTGCCCAAGGTCACATAGCTAGAGTCTAAAGCAGATGTCAAACCACAGTCTCTCTGCTTTTAAGTCTAGCATTATTTCTACACAATACTAATTGCCCAAAATAACAGGGAGAAGAATCAGGGCTAGATTTGTAACTGTGAGTTGAGGTGAGTCTAATGCTGAAACAGGACACAGTAAAATAAGCTGGTTGGTGTTAGGTTGAACTTGGGGCAACACTCAGTCATAAGCATTTCTTAAACTCTTACTATGTGCCAGAAACTGTGCTAAGAGCTGAGGATAGATAGACAAACCAAAACAGTCCCAGTCCTCAAGGAACTGATTTTTTGTGGGGGAAGTAGCATGCAAACAATTGTGCACATTCACAAAACATTTGGCTGAACAAGTTGTGGTATATGATTATGATGGAATACTATTATGCTATTAGGAACAACAAGCAGGATCTGGCAGGAAAACCTGCAGAGACTTACACAAACTGATGAAAAGTGAAATGAGCAGAACCAGGAGAACATTGTGCACAGTAACAGCAATACTGTGCAATGATCAACTGTGAATGAACTAGCTATTTTCAGCAATGCAATGATCCAAACCAGTTCCAAAGGACTTCTAATGAAAGATGCTATCCACCTTCAGAGAAAGAACTGGTGGAATCTTAATTCAAATCTAAACAGTCTTTTTAAAAGCTTTCTTTATTTTTATTGTTTGTTTTTTTATCTCTGTTCTCTTTCACAGCATGACTAATATGGAAATATTTTTTGCATGATTACCTCCATATAAACTATATTATATTTTGTCCTATGTCAGGAAAGTGGGAGAGTGAGTAGGAAGCGAGAAAATGTGTTACTCAAAATGAAAAAAAAAACTGTGTTAAAATTGCTTTTACATGTAATTGGGGAAAATAAAATATAAAGTTAAAAAAAAGAAAAGGGCTTGGCAAGCCCTCACACCAGAGGTGTGAGTCCTCCCTGAACAACCCATATACCCATTTATCTTAACTAGTCAAAAGAAGAAAGAATACACAGACACAGAGCTGGGTACAGAAAAATGCTTCACTCAGTGGGAATAAAAGATGAGAAAGGGGAGAAAGAGGTGATGGGGAATTAGAGGGTAAATTAAGTGAAAGATTGGTTTTATGTTCAAAAATATTTATGGCTGTTTTTGAGGCGACAAAGAATGGGAATCTGGGGGGCGGTCCATAAACTTGGGAAGGGATAAACAAACTATGATATATAAATGTGATGGAATACTAATTCCCTGACCTCTTCTCAGTGCAATCATCAGCCAGGATTCTGCAGGACTAGTGATGAAACATGCTATCAGGTGGTCCTAGTAGAATAGCGAAGGACTCTGAGTGCAGAATGAGACCATTTTTTTGGATATGCACAATGTATGAATTTATTTGGATTGAATATTCGTGTTTTAAAGGGGTTTTATTTTTCTCGTGACCTTAATTCAGGGGTGGAGGAGGGCAGCAGAAGTGGGAGTGTGAAAAGGTGGCTGATTTAAACAAATTCAATTAAAAAAGAATAATAAGGAAATTTGAAGGAGAGAAGGTTTGGGGGGATAGATAATGAAGTCAGTTTTGGACATATTGAGTTTAAGACATCTGTATCAGTTTGGGGTGTCCAATGGGCAGTTGGAGATGCAATACTGGAAGTCAGGAGTGAGGTTAGGGCTGGATAATAGGACTGAGAATAATCTGTATAGAGATAATCATGGCTGGGAGCTGATGAGATCACCAAGGGTTATAATATAGAGGGGAGAGGATACAGCCTAGGGGGCACCGTGGTTAATGGCCATGACATGGATGAAGATCTAGAAAAGAAGACTGAGGCACAGCAGAAGGAGAACCAGAAAAAAATGACGTCATGAAGACCTGGAGAGGGTGGACTATCAGGGAGGAGTGATCAACAGTGCTAACGTCGGTAGAAAGGGCAAGGAGAATGAGGCTGGAAGAAATGGCCATGGGATTGGGCAGTGAAGAGACCATTGGGAGCTTTGGAGAGAGTAATGTTTCCTTGGAATGATGGAGTCAGGAGCCAGACTGTAGAGTGAGGAAAAGAGTGAGAAGAAAGCAAATGGAGGAACCCTTTGGTTTAGACTCAGCCTTCTCAAGGAGTTTAGCCAGAAAAGGGAGGAAAGATATGGGATATGAATTATTAGGGATAGAGGAATCAAGAGAGAACTTTTGGAGGATGAGGGAGACATGGTAATCCCCACGATATAGAGGGTGAAGGTTTTTTGTGGAAAGCAGAATGCCGCCAATGGATAAGGAGAGAATAAAGATGAGTGGAGGTGGGGAGAAATCTGCCAGAGGGAATCTGGCACAATGGATGGAATGGTTAAGTGACTCCTCTTTGTTCCCCTGGAATGCAGGTAATAAGCAGCAGAGTCCAAATTGGGACTCAGGTCAGCTGACTCCAAAATCATCATTCTTTCCATCTGTACTAATGGGTCTTTTTTTCCCTGGGAAAACCTTGGGGTCATTCATAGAACTTTGTGTTTCAAACAAGCATTTGTTAAGTGTCTACTGTGTGGAATACACCACACTAGACATTAGGTGACAATACTATCTGTGACTTTTCATTCAGAGGGCATGATCTCTTCTTTCATATAAACCTGTAAGGAGAGGGATTGGTTCAATGGTCAGTCAGTCACCCTACCCCACCTACAGATGCTCTATGGACCAATAAGATGCTTTATGGCCTGACATCTTCATCAAGTGAGAACACCTCTGAGGGATCAATCCATCAAAGGTACAGCCTGGATGTGACAAGTTTCAGAATCAATGTGGAAGGAGGGAAAGCCATTGCATGAAATGAGATCATGCTGCAGAGACAGCTGCCTGGCTACAGTGGATAGAGTGCTGGGCCTGGAGTCAAGCGAATCTGGATTCAAATTCTGCCTTAGATGTGTGAACTTGGGCAAGTCACTTGATTTTTGTCTGCCTCATTCTACCCAGCTGTAAAATAGGGATAATTATAGTACGTACCTCACAACATTATTGTAAAGACCAAGTGAAATATTTGTAAAGCTCTTAGCAAACACCTGTATGTAGTAGGTGCTTAATAAATGTTTGGCCCATTCCCCTTCTTCCCCTTCACACCACCTCCATCTTCAAGCTCTCCAGAGTCAGCCTCCTGCCATGTTATGGGTACAACAAACAGATTAACTGTCGCTCAGGGCTTTCTGTTTGTCACTTCATATATTGGGGTGTCTTGCACCTATGAGATGGGTCAGCTGGCCATTCCTGGTGGCTATTACACATGGCCTTCAAGAACCAAGGATATTGTTAAGAAGGAGGATCTGGGTTTAGATACTGTATCTGACCCTCCCTGGGGGAACCTTGAAGTCACTTAACTCTCTGGGCCTCAGTTTCCTCTTCTGCAAAATGAGGAAGTTGGATTAAATGGCCCCTAAGTTCCCATTCACACCCAGATCTATGATGTATGACCTCTACATTAGCAAGTTTGTTGGAGAACTCTTCACTTAGGAGGAGCTAAATGATAATTTGTTGTGTAATTTAACTGAATATAGGCGAACTGAAAACTCAGCTAAGGCCAGTCACTACTGGCATCTGTACCCTGGGTCCTGGCAAAGGAAGGCACACGGGGAAAAGGTGAATGATGAGGCCTGAAGTCTAGACGGTTACCAGGGGTGTGCTGGGTGGAGAGATGACTTTATGCCTCAGTCCTAAGGTCACACCCATCTGGTTTCCCATGATGTAGGTTTGGGAGAAAAGGAATGTTGCTTCCAAATTTCCTCATGTTGGCTGTCTCCAGCACCGGCACTGCCTTTGTCCAGTCATTCCCAGTTTACTGCTGTTTTCGCTTCCTGTTTGGGTCTTCAGTAACAGGAATCATGGTTGGCAGCGGAACCCTCAGTAAGTCTTCATTGTGGGACTACTTCAACATTTACATTTGTTCTTTGAGATCCCACTTTTCTCTGAAATTAATTCTGTGCTGTGGTTTCCTTTCAGCCCAGGAATGGACCACCAACCAGCACCGGCCCATGGTAACAGTCATTTTCACTCTGTGCTTTAGCATGGGCCATCTGTTTCTTGGGTTTGTGGCTTATGGCATCCAGGAGTGGCGCAAATTCCAGCTGGTAATGTCTGCTCCCTTCTTTGCCTTCTTCCTGGCCTCTTGGTAAGTGCCCCCGGGGCTCTTGTTCTCTCTCTGAGAGACTGCAGATGGAGGGTGAAGAATCCCAAGCTTCTTTACATAAAAAGCTCAGTTCAGGATGTCTCAAGTCTAGTAAGAAAATGGGAATGTTTCCCATCAGGAGTTAAAAATCCATGTGTGGATGAGATGGCCTTGAAAGCAGATATTTTCTTCCAATAATCCTAGGTTATAAGAAGTAATGAAAATAAAATGAAAGTTATTCATTTTGAGCAGACTTTTCCTAAAAGGAATATCCCAGGACAGCAGAGATGACATAGAAAGTTCATTAAATTTCAATGGAGAAGTCATGAGTTCAAATCCTACCTTTGTCCCTTGTTAAGTGAGTGACCTTGGTCAAATCACTTATGTACCCCTCTGCAAAATGACCGGGTCAGACTAAGTGACCTTTCGGATCCCTTCAAGTTCTAAAACTATAGTGGCAAGTTAAGATGACCCCTGCATTGGGAATGAATAGGTAAATTCCCTCTCTATTTACTAGGCAGCTAGAGACTGTATACTCTAGGGGGCTGGGCTTGGAGTCAGGAATATTTCACTTCTTATCCTGCCTGAGATATTTGCTAGCTGTGAGACCCTGAGGAGGTCACTGAACCTCTCTGGGTTTCAGTTTTCTCACCTGTAAAATGAGTTGAGTAGTAATATCTCCCCCCATGAGTTGTTGTGAGGATCAATTATAATTCAACTCATGGTAATCTCCATAAGGCACATTTCAAGAAAAAGAAGAATGAGTTTAGAGTGCAAGAAGTCAATATCTATTTTAAAATGTATAAGCACATGATTTAATAATGCCAGATAATAAGAATGATTTAAACCTTCTTTTAAGTTTTTTTTTTGGTGCGGCAATTGGGGTTAAGTGACTTGCCCAAGGTCACACAGCTAGTAAGTGTCAAGTGTTTGGTCTAAGGCCGGATTTGAACTCATGTCCTCCTGACTTTAGGGCCTGTGCTCTATCCACTGTGCTACCTAGCTGACCCCTTAAACCTTCCTTTAAGAAGGCAGAAAATAGTTTCTTGGTTAATACTAGGAAGAAAGAAAGAAAGGATGGAAGGAAGGTAAAAAGGAAGGAAGGTAATATAGCATGCATATCTTGCTATTATAAATAAAGACATAGTATGTGTGTCTCTGTGTGTGTGTGTGTGTGTGTGTGTGTGTGTGTGTGTAAAAAGATGAGGGAGTTTATTGAGTAATTGCTCCCCATCTATCCCTCCTAAAGTGAGTGATAAAGCACTAGGCCATCATACCTTAACTAGTTGGGAAGGAGTCCCCATTTAATCAAATCAGTCAATTGGATTCCAACTTAATGTGAAAAGACCTTGATCAATTTAGCTGTCTCTGATGAGCCATTGGATGAAATTGAAGAGACATGATACAGGAAGAGTGTCCAGATTGGCTAAAGAAACTAGGTCTATTCTTGGGCTCATCTGTAAAATCTCAAGCCAGTTCTGACTCTACAGACATTCAGATTTCTGCAAATGGCAAGTCAGGATAGAGTGTTCCAGCTAAACCTCCTGAGAGGGGAGGGCCTTGGCCTTGGCCTGCCCCTGCTTCTTCCTTCCATCCACCTCACTCCCCAATCCCCTGAGGTCCTCAGGAGGACTTTTCTTTCTTTTCTTTTTATAAATTTATTTCATATTTTGTTTTCCCCAACTACATGTAAAAACAATTTTTAACATTCATTTTTTAAACTTTGATTTCCAAACTCCCTTCCTGGCTCGCCACCACCCTCCTTGAAGGAAAGCAATTCGATATAGTTTATAAATGTGTAGTTATTCAAAATATATTTCCATATTAGTCATGTTGTGAAAGAAAATGTAGACAAAAAAATTCAAGAAAAATAAAGAAGGTAAAAAAAGGTATGCTTCAACCTGTATTCAGACACCATCAGTTCTTTGAAGATAGATAGCATTTTTTACCTTAAGTCCTTTAGATTTCACTTGGATCATTGTATTGTGAATAGCTAAGCCCTTCACAGTTGATCATCTTACAGTATTGCTGTTACTTTGTACACAGTACATTTCACTTTTCATCAGCTCATGTAAGTCTTTGCAGGTTTTTCTGAGAGCAACCTGCTCATTATTTCCTACAGGACAATATCACAATCACATAGCACAATTTGTTCAAGCATTCCCCAACTGATGGGTATCTCCTCAATTTCCAACTCCCTGCCAACAAAAAAGAACTGGAATAAATATTTCTATATAGATAGGTTCTTTTCCCTTTCTTTTTTTTTTTTTGTCTCTTTTGGATACAGACCCAGTAGTGGTGCTGCTCCATCCAAGGGCATGCGTGGTTTTATAGTTCTTTGGGCATGGTGAGGAGGACCTTGCTAACCAGTCATCTGGAGGACTTCCCATCTCCCCATCAGCACCGTTCCAGTGTTCCTGGAACAGCTTGCTGACAGTTAAGTCATGGGGATAAGAAGTCAAATGCAGACTGCATGCAGACTCATATCCCTGAAAGATCCCAGAAGGAAATTACACTCAGCCTAAGGAGATCTTAAGCAGCACATGAAGGAGAGAACATTTAGTTTCTCCTTTGCTACATATCCTCTCCATGCTGGAGCCCATCTCCCTCTGTACTGTCATGTACTTGTGGGAAAGGGTATCCCATCCCCAGAGAACAGATTGATGGGGTTTCAAAGCAGATCAAAGCATCCTGGTTTTTTCAAACTTTCTTTATTTTCTTGGGGGTTTTCTTTGGATCTCTGTTTTTCTTTTACAATATGACTAATGTGGAAATATGATTTGCATGACTGCACATGTATAATACATAACAAATCACTTGCCTTCTCAATGAGAAGTGATGTGAGAGAGGGAGAATTTACAACTCAAACTATTAAAGAAACACATGTTAAAATTTGTTCTTTACATTTCATTGGGGAAAAATGAAATAGAAAATAAAAAGGCATAGTTAGAACAACTACAAAAAGGAAAAAGAAACCACTGCTGTTCCTGTTCTCCCCTAAGGGTCTTGCCACCGTACCAGAAACAGCTGAGCCCCAGTCATTAAGAAAGACGTTCTCTCCCCGTTATCTTGTCTCACTTGGTTAGGTGTTGGGTTACTGGTTTGTGCACACTTCCTATCGCTGTGGTAGAATGTAAGCTCCTTGGAGGCAGGGGCTTTTTCATTTTGATCTTTGCATCCTCAGCACTAGTACAAAACCTAGCACATATTAGGAACTTAATAAATACTTCTCAACCTGAATTTGAATCTGCCCTCTGGTTGTTCTATCCTGGAAAGCGAAATGTTTAAGGAGCTCTACACTCTTTTCTTTGGGAGGTTAGGTGAGAGGAAGAAGAAATATTGAATCCTAGATTCAGGGAACCCTTGAAATTTAACTTCTATTCTCACGTAGGTTATAAATGTTGTGAAACCTACATGGCACAGGTCACGTGGTCACACACATTTTAACAACGTTTTCAGCTCTGTCATACCATGTTTTAACATCCTCTCTGATCATGTTTAGCCCAGAGATGAGATGCCCATCCATGGGGAATTTCAAGCAGATGTTGGATAATTTTATGTTGGCAGTGTTGGAGAAATGATTCCTCCTCAGGTACAGGTTGGACTGAGTCACCATTGAGGCTCTTTTCTACTCTGAAATGCTGTGCTTTGTATTCCCAGTGCTAAGCACAATACTTGATAAAGTGTAAGTGCTTAATAAACTCTTGTTGACTAACTAGCCAAATCTATGAACAGAGGTCTAGGCATCAAGATACCTTGGCTGTTAAAGAAAGCTACTCCTAAGACAGAATCTCAGACCTGGAAAGAACCCCAGGGGTAATTGAGGGTAATCCAAACCTAAAGAAGCATCCCTTGTACAACATTCCCAGAAGAAAAATTGCCTGTTCACATCCTTTTAGCACTTGCCCATTGGGGAATAGTTCTTGTTATTATGTTTGTATCAATTGAATATATACTGTGGATAACAGAGGAATGATAACAAACACATGGATCTGGATAACAGAGATATTTGTTATGAAGATTGTTTTCTTCATTGGACTCAACTTGTTTCGTTGCAATTGGATTGACTTTGTGCAAAAGCTTTTGAATTATATGTAACTAAAACAAATATATATATTTTCTTTACTGATTTTCTCTAGCCCTTGTTCGGTTAAAATCTTTCTCTTTCTCTCTCATAATTAGCCTGGCACATAGTCGACATATAGTAAGTATTTATCAATTTATTGAAGATAAAGTTAAAAGAATTACTCCCCAAAAGGCCTCTCCACCACATTTCTGTCTTCTCCAGCTTCTCTCCAGCTGTGATGGGAAAACAGTCTCTCCAATTTTTCTCAAACCCTCCCACTTAATAGTCTTTCTCTAGACTCACTCCTTATCAAACTACCTTTAGAGTGCTTCTTCATAAAATAACAGCTGAACCAAGTTCAACAAGAAAGTAATTTCTCCAAATTTTGTTTCTGCCTCCTCCATAGTTTATCTCATAGATCCTCCACAGATCAAAATTCAACTGATTATTATTCTCTCCCTGACTCCATCTCTTAGGATGATGCTGCAATGGTTCTTCCATATTACCTTCTCTTCTGTTAAAGCAACAGTTACAATTTCTACAGTCTCTGTAGGAGAGGCTTTTGGAATGACCTCTCATGAATCCTTTGAAGGCTGTCCATAAAGACCACTGGAGGACTTGCCCTCTGGCAACATCTTGGCATGCTGTTGGTACTCAAGCATGACGCGGGCTGCCCATAGGTTACCCTTCACTTATGCTACATAACTTTTCTAGTGATACCTTTTGGATCAGTTCTTTAGTCTGTTCTCACCATAAATTTCTCCATAGCTCTCTAGGGGACTCACAATGTCAGTTCTTAAGATATCGTGGCAGACCGTATTTTGTATAGCATCCTGGGAAGCAAAGCAATGTTAAAGAAGTTAGGGCTTGGTCTGAAAGAGAACTTTCATTCATACAGATTTTGAAAATCAATTCCATTTCTACTCTGGAAGCAATTGTGAAATACATATTCCTGGACACAACACTGGTGGCAGGCAGTAGGGGGTGTTGAGAAGATTTTGATTTTTTAATGAATAGAGACAAGACTGGAGGGTCAGGGAGAGCAGACCCTTTAAGGGGTGAGTGAGTGTTAGTAGAGCTAGGAATCTCATGGAAACATGTAATTTAGGTCTTTTCTCCATTTTCCTTTTTAAAAATAAGTTTGGTTGATGCATTTCATTTCTAATGTCACTTTCTTCTTCCCAAGCTAGATCTGTATCATACTTTGTAACAACCAATAAATCACTTAGCTTTTATTATAGATGCTAAGCAGTATACTAGGCTGAGGGCACAAATACCCAAATTAACAGGCCCAACCCTCAAGGAGCTAATACTACCAGAGGAGCTAATAGGTACATATGTAAGTATATATAAAAGGTGGTCCTGTCTCTAACCCAAAGTATCTGAGTGACCATGGGCAAGTCACTATACCTCTCAATGCTCTAGGCAAACCTGCTAAGACAAATTTGCAAGGAAAGAGAGATTTTCATCTCCTGAGAGTTCCCTATTCCAGTGAAATCATAGGTTCAGTCTTTATCTCTAATTTGCATGGACCTAATTACAGAAATGGGACAAGACTGAGAGTAGGAAGGTCTGGGTTGGAACTCTAGCTGTGGGTCCTAGGAATGTCGCCTGCCTTCAAGCACTCCTGCCTCACTTTCCCACTTTCTGTGTCAAGTGGGTTCCTGATCATGCTGGACAGCGACTCTTACATGCAGTGAGATCAATACCTCACCCAGCACTTCTAGAGCGACAAAACTAAGAGAAGTTATTGAAGAAATGCTGCACCTTGTACGTTCGGAAGCTCTCCTTTTACACAGCTGAGAAATGGGTCTATGAATTCTTTGGCAAGAGTGGTGACATAGAGGAAATCATCATGGGCATGGATAGAGTACAGAAAACAGCATGTGGATTCTGTTTAATTGAATTCTACTGCAGAGCACATGCTGAAAATGCCAGGATGTACTTTAATGGAACTCATTGGGAGAATGGAATCATCTGCTCAGATGAGGATGCTGGTTCCTAAAAGGGCAGACAGAACAGACAGGGAAGATCAGGGGGCAGGTATAAGATGAGGATCGAACAGAATGTAATGCTGGAATAGGAAGCTATAAAAAAAATAGGTAAAACCAATGAGTGACGAAAGCCCAGCATTTAAAAAAGAAAACTTTGGCCAGTTGACAGATCCTACAAAGAGCAGCACTGAAGTCCTGAAAATGGTTTACTTTTTATTTTATTTTTTAAACTAATTTATTTTGATTTATCAACAATCACTTCCATAAGCTTTTGAGTTTTAAGTTTTTCTCCACCTCCTCCCTGACCTCCCTCTCCAAGACAGCATGCAATCTGATATAGGGTATACATAGACATTCCTATTAAACATATTTTCACATTAGTGATGTTGTAAGTAAGAATTAGAACCAATAGGAGGAACTACCAGAAAGAAGAAACAAAACACAACAGAAGAAAAAAAATAGCAAATACTATGCTTCCATCTGCATTCAAAGTCGATAGTTCTTTCTCTGGATGTGGATAGCATTTTCCACCATGAGGCCTTTGGAGATGGCTTAGATCCTGGTATTGCTGAGAATAAGTCTATCAATATTAGTCATCACACAACGTGGCTGTTACTGTGTACAGCGTTCTCCTGGTTCTGCTCACTTCACTCAGCATCAGACCATACAAGTCTTTGCAGGTTTTTCTGAAGTCTGCTTGTTCATCATTTCTTACAGCACAATAGTATTCTATTAGATTTATATACCACAACTTGTTCAGCCATTCCCCAATTGATGGGCAGCCTCTCAATTTCCAATTCTTTGCCACCACAAAAACAGCTGATATAAATATTTTGGTACATGTGAGTTGTTTTCCTATTTGTATGATCTCTTTGGGATACAGCCCTAGAAATGCTGTTGCTGGGCCTAAGGGTATGCACATTTTTATAGCCCTTTGGACATAATTCCAAATTGCTCTTCAAATTGGTTGAATCATTTCACAACTCCACCAACAATGCATTAGTATTCCAATTTTCCCACATCTTCTCTAACATTTATCATTTTCCAGTTTTGTCATGTTGACCAATCTGATAGGTGTGATGTGGTGCCTCAGAGTTGTTTTGATTTGCATTTCTCTAATCAAAAGTGATTTAGAGCATTTCAAAAATGATTTACTTTTAACAGGCTCTCATTTAGTCCTCTGCCTCTGTATGAGAAGTAAGCCTGAATCTTCGACTTCGCTTTCCACTCTGAAAATCATTGAATGTCAGAACCTAAGGCAGTGACTTTGGTCCTGGTGCTGGAGCCTTGGGGTCTTGTCTGCTTGTCAGGAGGACTTCCTATCACCTGAGGAACAGTTAGTTGTCAAGCAGATCTATTAATGGATATTAACGCAATACAGCGCAGCTTTACTTGATGCAAGATTAGGAAAGTCTTATTGTATGACTATGTTACTATGCATGAATCAGGGCTTGGAGTCATCATTTAGAAATACAGCCCTAATGAAATGTGTGTGAAGTGAGTCGAACGGTCTATCCTCTAATATCAATATTCTAGAAATTAGAATAGTCTTATTTCTAAGCTGTTTGAAGTTATGTCTTGTTTCCAAGGGGACTTCTAATTCATATAGATATAAAAATTTGTTAGAGAATTCTTGAAATGGCTCTGCCTCAGCACCAATGATCTCATATTCCCAGGGACAGTTCTCTGCTCTTGTGCTCTCAATGGATGATGTAGAAAGAAATGTGTATTTACAATGTTAAGGGTGATTATTAAACACATATTTAAGCTTTCTAATTAAGGCTGTGGGGAAGATATGTTAGATAAATTCAGGAGGCATTTGTTTTAACCTTGCAATTGTGACAAGCGGAGGCTAGACCTATTGTACTTATTTATTATTTTATTTTACTACCATGATAAAGGAATGGAGAGGGTTTGGAGGAAAACCTGAAAATCAAGGAAACAAAACATTTCTAATAGCAAAGATCAGATAAGCTCTACTTCAGATGGATGGAAATGTCTATTTCCTGGGCAATGATTTAAGACATATCCAAAATAACATGTCTCCTCCCTGCATTTGCATTGCTGATACAAAAATGGAATTCTTGTGAACTGTTCCCATGGGATAGAGGAGGAGGAGATTTGCTCCCACTTAGAGCTTCAAGCGATGAAAACATGACTTAAATGCTATCCAATCTATAGACAATTTTAGAAGGTTTTCCTGATAGGTCTATGTGATCATCTATTGAGAGGACAGATTTGAGCCCAAAGCGAAAAGCTGTCCTGACTCATTTAAAAAACTTTTATCAAAGGGGAAAAATCAAGAAGGGCTCCAGCTGATCAGCAACTCTGGCCAACCTGTTAGAGGTCTGTGGCATAGGATAATTGGGAATGAAAGCTTCCACCCATGAACTCTCTTTTGTATGTTAAGTGATGCAAAGTAATTAGTTGTAGAATTAATAAGAAGAACCTGAGCTCTGCTCCACACAAGCGTGATTTTGAATAAGGAGAAAATGGAGAATTAACTATATCTCTCATGCACTATTTCATTAGGTGGTTGCCAGAGTCTGCTAGATGGCTGATTGTCCAAAACAGATATGATGAGGCCTTAAAGGTGCTCACAAAAGTTGCAAAGATCAATGGAGTAAAGGAGACCACCCTGACTATAGAGGTGAGAGGAGAAGGAGGAGCCAGGGCTGGGATGTGGGAAATGGTGGCTTTTCAGGCCAAGCCCAGTAGCCAGGGGCCTACCAAGAGAAAAGTCCCATCTCTGATGATGTTTCTCCAAATCTCAGTGGGCCAGGGAACAGTAAGGGATGGGGGTGGATACTTTAGTCCATAGTGGACAGTGCTACAGACCTAGTGATTGAGGGTCATCTCAGGCCATAGTGAACTTGCCTTTTGAAGACATCAATCCTGGGGCTCCCTAGCTGTTTCAGATAGGGAAACAGGACTGAGGGAAGAGGTGCTGGGACTATGGGAAGGGGTAAGGGTCCCCTGGTGGAGGAGGGGGGAGGGGGAGTTTCTCTCCTCTCTGGTTTCAGAGGGTCCCTGCAGCCCTCTGCCCCCTCCCCTCCTGTCTCAAAATCATTCCCTGCATTCCTTCCTGTGGGCTGTTTCTGTTTTTCCTCCTCATTTCTTTCTTTGCTCAGTGGTTTAACTCTAGCCGTGCCATTCCATAAAGAGACAATGTGAAATGGTCAATGAGACAATTAAGTAACAAAGATTAAATGAGATCATACATGTAAAGCACTTAGCACAGTGATTGCCACATAGTGATAATAAGTGCATATTCTCTGTCTCTCTCTAGACTCCAGAGTAGCCTTGACTGTGGCCAAGGATACCAAGGGTCACCCACTCACGCATGGCAAATTTAGGAAAAGAGTCTTAATGAGATTTGTATGCAATGAGTTTAGCGATTTGTGCTCTGGTAACTACAGGAGCACAAGGCAGGCACTGAAGCCAGCTCTTGAAGGCAATGTGGATAGAACACACAGCAACTGTAAGAAAAGTGCCCTCTGTCCAAGTGAAATCCTCAGCCTTCTGTCCTGCTGCAAGGAGGAGGGAAAAATACAACAGAAGAATGGTGTTCTCTCTGTGGAGCTACATCCTCTCTAAACAATAACTCATGAGCCCCCACTAGTATGGTGGCTTTTATTGTTCAGCCAAAGAACACAATCTAAAGCAAAGGCATTTAAGGAAACAGCATGAAAAGAAAGTATCGATATTTTCCCCATAAACCTGGGGAACACTTTCAATAATTATACTATACAGTATCAACATGTAGAGTGGACATGTGTAGGGAACAAAATACAATACAAAATCCCCACATAGGATGTCTATAGGTCACCTAGTCAAACTCCCTCATTCCATGGATGAGGAAAGTGAGGTCCAGAGAGGTTTTCAGTGACTTGCACAAGTTCACACCATATTAATGGAGGGATCTGAATCCAGATATTCTGGCTCCAGAGTCAGCATTCTCTTTGCTCTACTGCATGTGCATGGAGAGGAACCCAAAGAGGGAATGTATGAGATCAGGACATGTTCAGGGACCAGCCAATGATAGAGTTGAAGCTGGAAGGGACCTCAGAGGCTTTCTAATTCAATCTCCTCATTTTACAAATGAGAAAACTCAGGCACAGGGAGGTGAAGAGACCTGTTTATTCTATATCAGGAGTATCAATGGCAAGACTTGAAGCCAGGGCTTTTGCCTCCATAGCCAGTGCTAATGCTGATAATTTCCCTTCTGTTGATTGTTACCTTATATGATGCATATATGTTAGAGTTGACTTAGTTCTGAAAAACATTTAGCCATCTGATTCAGATAGTACCTATGATATATTTTCATTAAAGTTTCCTCAAAATGCATTGATGTTGCATGGAGTGCTATGTTTATTTCTAAGCTGGATGTCAGTAGTTCCATGGAGGAGCACCCACGGAGGATATATGAGGCCAAAGTGTGCACTCCTCCTGCTGCAGTGACAGACATGGGCATAGCCTGTTGTCTCTGCTGATCTTGCATGACCTCAGGGCTCTCAAAGTTAATCTTCTGGTGCCATGGTCACAGGCATGGCTTCACTGGGCATGGTATTATACAGCTTGTCATTAGGGAAAAGAAAGATTTAGTAAGACTTTGAGATCATAGCCAGTGAGTGCTCATTTGGTCCCAATCAGGGCCTAGAATCTATTACCCACCCAATCCTTCCTGCTTCTTCCTTCTATTTTTCCATATACTAACCTTCAGATTGACTCTCTGCTTGGCTCTTCTCTCTAAAGGCTTTGAGATCCACCATGGAGATGGAACTGGTTCCAGCACAGACCCGTTATACCATGTTGGATTTGGTCTACTTTCCCATCCTGCGTACAAGAATGCTCTGTTTGTCCTTTGTAGGGTACGTTCCCCATAATGGGTGAGGAATGTGAAAGCCTACAGGTACTCTCTCCAAATGTCTCAGGTTGACATAGTAACTGTGCAGGAGAAAAGAAGGGACCCAGTTCAAATCTTTTATCTGTCATTCACATAATTGTAGAACCTTAGAGTTGGAAAGGCCTTTGAAGGCCATCTAATGCAACCTTAGTATTAAAAGGTCATTCACTGGTATTCCCTGTCCTTAACCCCACTAAAGGTTATCCAGCTTCTGACCAAAAACCTCCAATGAGAGGGAGTCCACTACCTCTTGGGGATGCTCATTCTACTTTCAGATAGCTCAAACTTCTATGAGGTTTTCTTTTGGTTGTTGTTTAGTTGTTTCAGTCATGGCCACCTTAATGACTCCCATTTGGAATTTTGTTGGCAAAGATACTGGAGAGGCTTGCCATTTCCTTCTCCAGCTTCTTTTACAGGTGAGGAAACTGAAGCCAATAGGTGAAGTGACTTGCCCAAGGTGACACATCCCATTACTGTCTGAGGTCAGATTTGAACTCAGGTCTTCCTAACTCTAGACCTGGTGCTCTATACAGAACAGAGTGAGCTGTAACATTTATTTGGATAATTAAAGGTTCTTATCACTGTACTATCTTGCTCCAATGCACCAGGTTTGTGATTAATTTGCCAAACTCCTCATCCAATTTTTCCCTCTGCCCAAGTGGTATATAGTAAAAGCCTGTAATAATATCAGTTGTGTTGTTCCCTGCTTTGATTCTCATCCAAATGGTGCTAATCCTCCCCACCCCAATTTCTGGATTCTATGACTATTACTGAATAACTGTGACATCCTTGGTCACTTCATGGTCCTCATCTACTGTGTTTTGTGAACAGCGTTGTCACTTTAATTTGGGTCCTTAGCTGATAGTTATTTGTGGCTAAAAGGTAAGGGAGTTAATAAAATTAGCTAAACTTCTAAATATACATTTAAGGTTAGTTAATGCTCCTAACATCTGCCTTGTCCATACATCCCCATAAGAGCTTAGGCTGCCACCCCCCTAGTGGCTTTACCCTGCACTTCTGGTACTGGCCTTTGGAGCTCTCCACAATCTGGCTCCAGGCCACATTTGCAGACTTGTTTACCATTTTTGCCCTTCATGATCTCTACATTGCACCCACAAATGACCTGACATTTGCTGAACTAGGGAGTCCATCTCCCACCCTCTGTCTTTGTATGTGAGGTTCCTCATGACTAGAACTCACCCTCTCCTCACCTTTGCCTTCTGGAATCTGTGGCTGCCTTCAAGGCTCAGCCCTGGGCATCAGCTCCTACTGAAGCCTCTTCTGGTCTGCCCACTTGGTGATCCTGTTGCCCTCCTGAATTTATCTGGCATTGACTTAATTGTACTCAAGGAGAATCGCCACCCTCAGTAGAATATGAACTCCTCGTGGGTTGGTGTCCCTAGCACCTAGTATAGTCCCTGACACCCAACAGTGTTTAATTATGGCTTGTTGAACTGACCTGGATTTAATGGTGAGCTCTGGCCTCCAAGTGTGATGGATTTTCTGCTTCCCCCACTGTCTGCTGCAGTTTCACAACAGGGATGCTTTTCTATGGGTTTTTTCTGGATCTTCAGAACTTGGGGAGCAATATTCAAACACTCCAGGTTCTATTCGGAACTTCCACCTTCCTAAGCAGGTTTGTAGCCTTGTTCATCATGACCCGCCTTGGCCGTCGAACGATAACAGCGAGCTGCCTCCTCCTTGCTGGACTGTTCATATCTGCCAGTGCTTTTCTGCCTCGAGGTAAGAGAGTGGGCTTTGAGGAAAGGGGGAAGAAGGGGTAGGAGAAAGTATGATTAGAGGCAGCTCAGTGGCACAATGGACAGAGCACTGGGTCTGGAGTCAGGACAACCTGAGTTCAAATCCAGAATCAGATTCTTCCTAACTGGGTGACCCTGGACATATTACTTAACCTCTGCCTGCCTCCATTTCCTCCTCTTTAAATAGGGATAATAGTAGTACTTACCTCTTAGGGTTCTTGTCAAATAATATTTGTAAATGCTTACCCCAGTGCCTAGCACATAGTAGGCTCTATATAAATATTACATATACTATCAGTATCATCACCATCACCATCATCATCACCATCATCATCATCATCATCGTTGTCGTTGTCAGTATCATCATCAGTATCATCTTTGAGGAGAAGGTCCTTCCCCACCCCCCAGGCTGGCTTGCTTGTGGCCTTGCTGGGCTGAGCAGACCTCCCCCTCCCCCTCCTGCTTTGCAGCATAGGGCACTGAAATGAATCTGGGACTTGGGGTCTTGATTCTGCCAAGGGACTATGGAGGGAAAGGATGTACTCTGGTGCCCTTTGTGATACCCTGTAACTTAGAGCACAAAGCTCTTGGGGCAGGAATGAATGGTCATTACAGGCTCCTTGAGTGTTGGGACTCTAGAGGCAAAGTAGATGGAGATATGCTCTCAAAGCCGATCAGTTCCTCCCATTTACATTGCATGTCCCTTGTATATACATAGCTGTTTCCTTGTCCTGTCTCCTATTAGAACACAAGCTCCTTATGGGCCAGGGCCATGCTCTTGCCTTTCTTTGTATCCCCAGGGCTTTCCATAGTGTTGGAGATAGAGTAAATGCCTCACATGTACCGTCTGTGTGACCCTGGGCCAGTCACTGAACTCCTCAGTGGTCTAGGCCACTATCAGACTATAAATTGCAGAGAGAATGCCAATCTGAGTTGATAAGTTGAGTTTCTTTACTTGGCCATCCCCTATACATCAGGTAAGGAGAAAATCATAGGGCCAGTGCCTAGACCTATTGACTGTTAAGACCAGAAGGACCTTTTGAGAGAGACCCCTGAGTGACAGGATCACAGATTTAGAGTTGGAGGATTCCTCAGAGGCCATCTGATCCAAATCCCATTTGTACAGATGAGGAAACTGAGGCCCAGGAAATTGAAATGACTTATTTAAAGTCCCTCAAGTAATGAGCCTCAGAGGTTGGATTTGAACTCAGCTCTTCTGGCTGTAAAGGCATCACTCCTTTCACTATGCCATGGTACCTCCTCAACTTTCTCATTTTGAAGAAAAGAAAACAGGCTCAGAGAGGAGAACCCACTTGTCCAGAGGTGCAGAGTGAATAAATGACAGAGCCAGGACTCAAACCCAGGCCAGGATGGATGAGTAGGAAAATAGGAATGAGTGATAGATGAATGGATAGATGGATAGAGAGATAGATAGGTAGATAGATAGGCAGATGGATGGATAGATAGATAGGTGAATAGATGGATAGGTAGATGGATGGATCGATGGATAGATAGATGGATAGATGATTTGATAGATAGATGGATGGATGCAAGGATATATAGATAGATGGTTAGATAGATAGATGGATGGAAAGATGGTTACATGAATAAATGGCTGGATATTTGAATTGATGAATGGATATATTGATAAATAGATGAAGAGATAGAGAGAGGGTGAGATAGATAGTACAATTGATTGGAATAATCATGACTAAATAGCTGCCACATGACTTGAATTTAGGTTTACTGAGTTTCTTAAAGGCAGGATCCATTTGAATTCATCTTTACACTTAGCACAGCACCTTACACAAAGTAAGGGCATAATTAGTATTTATTCTTTGGTAGATGAAACAAGCAAATAACAGTTACCATTTATAGAGTCTATTAAGGTTCGCAAATTGCTTTGCATGTATTATCTCATTTGTTCCTCACAACAACCCTGGGAGGCAGATACCAAGATCCCCATTTTACAGATGATGAAATTAAGGCTGAGACAGGTTGAATAATTTGCTGAGAGTCACCCACAATAAGTTTAAGAACTCAGATCTTCCTGAGTGCCTAGCATGTATCCCTACACTACCTAACTGCCTCTAATAATAAATATTATTAAGATAAATGAATGAATGGGTCCGTCAATTAAAGGAATGAATGCATGGGTGAATAAATGAATGGATTGGTTGAATGAAACAATGGATGAATGAATGAACAAATCAATGCTCCAAGATGTGTGGAACTCTGGTTTATTGAGGGCTTTTGTTTTGTCTTTTGGTTATAGGAATTTTGCGTGTGGTTTTGGCAATGCTGGCAATTAACTGTATTGTGGTCTCCATTTCCAGCAATAGTGTCTATTCCGCTGAGCTCACACCCACAGTCGTCAGGTAGGAAAGAGCATCTGGGGATGAAGAAGCAGCCACTACTGTTTCTAGGAGAAGTGGGAAGGAGGAGAGACTCAGTAGAGCAGATCCCCCAGCAGGCCTGTCAGGGAGATTGTCTGTGTCTGGTGTTCTCCCTGACATAACCCATGACAATGCTGTCTGTGCTGTCCTTCCCAGGATCTTCTTTCACTTCCTTATCAGACTCTGGAAAGGGGGTCAGAGGAGTCCTGTATCACCATTGTCACCTCCAGGTTCTCCCTGTGCCTCTTTCACTCAGTAACCTTTTCTCCTTTGGAGTCCATACAATGAACATTTTCTACTCATTAAAAAGATTCTTGGTGACTATTGAGAAGGGGAAATAATGGTTACAAAGGGCCATAATGGTGGAGTCATCAAGAGCAAGACATGCCAGACCAACCTTATAGGCTTTCCTTTTTGGACAGGATCACTGAAGTAGTAGATAAGGGGAATGCTGTAGAGAGAGTTTGTGTCAAGTTTCATGTTTTTTTTCAGAGGTAGGGGGAGACAATTGGGTTTAAATGACCTGCCCAGGGTTACACAGCTAGTAAGTGTCTGAGGCCAGATTTGAACTCAGGTCCTCCTGATTTCAGGGCTAGAGCCCTATCCACTGTGCCACCTATATCTTAATTTTTAAAAAAGCTCTTGATAAAGTGTCTAATACTATTCCTGAGGAGAAGGTGGAGAGACATGCATTAGATGAGATCACATTAGATAGATTCAGAACTGGTCGCATGGCCAGACTCCAAGGGGAGTTGTTAATACTTCATTGTCAATGTGGCAGGATGTGTCCAGTGGAGTGCCCCAGGGATCTGTGGTTTGCCCTGTTCTCTTTACCCTTTATGTCAATCACTTGGGTAAGGCATAGATAGCCTGGTGATCAAATCCACAAATAACCAAAAACCGGGAGGGATCTCTAATGTACTGGATGAGAGAGTCAGGATCCAAAATGACTTCGAGAGGCAAGAACATTGGACTGATTCTCAGAAAATGAAATGCAATAAAGATAGATGTAAGCCAAAAAGATCCACTGCACATTGCTTCCAGGGACAAAGAGGTGATAGTTCCTCTGTCCCCTACCCTTGGCACACCTCATCTGGGCACCACAGATGTTGATGATCTGACAGGTATCAAGAAGAGGACAACCAGGATGGTGAAGGGCCATGAGTTTATGACCCAAGAGGATCAGTTGTAGGAACTTGGCATGTTTAGTCTTAAGAAAAGCAGATTCAAGGGGAAGACGAGTCCTGCCTTTTAGTATCTGAAGGATTGTCTTGTGGAGAAGGGAGTAGTCTTGTTGTGTTTGGCCCTAACTAAGAAGGAAAGAAAGAAGGGAGAGAAGGTAGGAAGGAAAGAATGAAGGAATGGACAGAAAAAGACAAATAGAGTGAGGAAAAGAAGAATGAAGGGAAAAGAGGAGAGAAGCAAGAAAGGATTTCCTTATGAGCTCTGAAAATGAAGACAAAGCTAATCCTTTTTTAACAATTTAGCGAAAAATTTGTTTTTCTTGTTCAGTCTTCAGTTTTGTGCAACTCTTTGTGACCCCATGGACCTAGAATACCATGCCTTCTATCCTCCACTACCTCTCAAAGTCTGTTCAAGTTCATGTTCATTGTTCCCATGACACAATCTATTCACTTTATCTTATGCCATCCTCTTTTCCTTTTCCCTTCAATCTTTCCCAACATCCCAACATTAGGGTCTTTTCCAATGAGTCCTTCTTCATATTATGTGGTTGAAGTATTTAAACTTCAACATCAGTGTCTGACCTCCCAGTGAATAGTCTGAATTAATATCTCTAAGTCTTGACTTATTAGATCTCCTTGCTGTCCAAGGGACTCTCAAAAGTCTTTTTCAGCACCACAATTCACGTGTCGATTCTTCAACATTCAACTTACCTTATAGTCCAACTCTCACATCCATAAATTGCTACTGGAAAAACCATAGCTTTGAGTACGTGGACCTTTGTCAGCAAGGGGATGTCTCTGCTGTTTAGTATTCTGGCCAGGTCTGCTAGAGTTTTCCTTCCAAGGAGCAAGTGTCTTTAAATTTCGTGGCTACAGTTGCCATTTACAATGATGTTTGAACCCAAGAATAGAAAATCAGACACTGCTTCCATTTCTTCTCCCTCACTTTACCAGGAAGTGATGGGACCAGGTGCAAGATATTTTGTTTTTACATTACCTAAATTTCTCCCATTATTCTTCCCCTCCCTCGCCTTTGAGAGCCATCCCATATAACAAAGAATATTTTAACAGGAAAAAAGAAAAGAGGAAGAAGAAAAGAAAATGGGTAAAATTGATCAACACCCTGAAAAAGTCTGAAAATATCGGGTGAGAGAGCCCATGGATCTCTCACCTCTTCAAAGGGGTAGGAGGAGAAGGAAGTGTGTCTAGTCATAACTCTTCTTTGTGTCATTCTTTCCATTTTCTTGTTGTCTTCATTTTGTATGTTTTGTTAGCTTTTCCAGGAAATAGATGAGCCACTAGTCTGTATCCTCAAGAAGCTTACACTCTACTAGGAGGAGAGATAGGAGAGAATGGTGGCACCCATCCCAGGGTGCTACCAATGGAGGAATTTCATCCTTACTAGGAGCTTAATCCTTTACCCATTCAGCTATAGATGCAAGAGCAAAATAGGAAAAATTAAGCTATTGAGGCAAGATCAAACTAACATATCTGCTTACTTGTTGGCAAGAACCTTTGGGGGATAGAGCGACAGTTTCTTTCTTTTCAAATGTATAAATTCAAGGAGCCCTTGAGCTTCCTGCAGGTTTTAAGAACTTTGGTCCAGTAATAATTCCCACAAACTGTAGAGTCAACTCACAGGAAGTTAAAGGAAGGGGCTATTTAACAGGTGTTGAGTCTAGGACAATCAGATCTCCTTTGTCCTGACAGGGGCAGGTGCTTGGGACTCATTCTTATGGTAAATCGGATTGGGGCAATTCTGGCCCCATTGGTGAATATGCTCAAGCACTACCTTCCAGCACTGCCACTGATCATCTTTGCAGCCATGGCCATCACTGCCGGCCTTGTGGTCTTCTTCTTCCTCCTGGAAACCCAAAATAAACCAATGCCTGACACCATCGAAGATATAGAATGTGGGTGAGTACTGTCTGTGGTGTCATGGGAAGGTCACTTAACTCATCTGAACTTCATATTCCTCATCAGTAAAAAGAGGGAGTAGGACTAGAAGAATAAATGAATATTAATATTAAATAGATAATAATTACTTAAATAATTACTGTTTGCATGCTTTATGCTAAGCATTTGGGAAACAAATATGTAAGCAAAGTGTCTCTACCCTGAAGGAACTTGAATTCTACTAGAGAAAGAAAATATACATTAGAGAAACATGGGCCTGGATGAATATTTTGTTCTGGAGGGTCACAGAGAGGGTGACTGGAGCCATGGGAGAGTTGATTGACAAGGTCTTTCCAGGAGCAATGGCAGCCTTGTTTTCAATAACTTTCAAGAGCCGGAAAGAGGTTATGGGTGTGTCAGATAATGGGGTGGAGGGACATAGCTGATGACATTGACAGGAGAGTTTAGGAAGGTGGGAGAGGCATCAGCCTTCAAATTTCATAGTTTTGTGGAAGGTCAGTCCTTTCTTGCCTAAGAAGTCTGTCTATTCTTCTAAGAGAAGGAGATGAAAGGAATGTGTGTCATCTGTATAGATAGTAAGCCCCTTGGGGCAGGGACTGATCTGACTTTATCCTCCTATCCTCAGGACTCCATAGACTACTAGAATGCTTTTACACAATAACAGCTTAACAAATCTATCATTCTTTCTGTTCTCATGGAGGGGGTAGAAGGAGTATGAGAAGCCCATTAAAGATACAGAAGGAGTGGTCGGAGAGGTAGGAAGAAGAAACCAGAGTCTAGGAAGCCAAGGGAGATCATAAAAAGAAGAATGTAGAGGGCCCTTCTATGTTTCCTGATTTGAAGGGATCAGGAAGAGGATGGAGAGCCAGTGAAGGAACTAGTGCTCAGAGTGGTGCTGTGGAAAGGCTTTCAACTTGGACTGCAAAGCCCTGGCTCCAAGTCCTAGTTGGCCAGTTCATAACCATGGGACTTAGGGCATTAGGACAATGCAGAGGCTGGACAACTGAGGTCCCTAATAGCTCCGACATCCCATACTAGAGGTCACCAAGTCTAATCCCCTCTTCTACAGTTGAGGAAGCAGTCCCAAAGTAGGGCAGGGTCTTCCCAAAGCCATACTGATTTTAAGTAGCAAAACTGAGATCCATTCCTAGGTCCTGGACTGTGCTGTAGAATTTAAGCTTTTCAAAGGCTTGGAATGTTCCGTATTATCATATATTATAGAGCTGAATGGGACCTCAGAGAGTCTAATCCCCTCATTTTACAGATGAGAAAATAAAACAAGTTGGCCACAGTCACATAGATAAAAAAGAGTTAGAGGCAGGGGCTCTTTCCAGAGCACGCCATTGTTTTGTGTATCTCCAGTGACCAACATTAAGAGATGCCTAATAAATACTTCTTGAATTGGATTGAATTTTGAGATGAAAACTTTTTTTTAAATTTTTAAATGAAGGCATTTCCACAAGGTGGCGCCCAAAGACATAGACTCATTGTATCCAATAGTTATCCTGGGCTTCCTAGCTATCTCAGACAAGTTTCCTCCCCCTAAGTTAGATGAGGTAATGTTTGTAAAAGCATTTGGCGTGGTGCCTGGCTGATAGCAGGAATAAATGCTTATTCACTTCCCCTTTCCTCTATTGCACACCCTCACATATGTTTCTTGTTTCCATTCTTTCATGGAAGACATTCAAGGGAAGGAGCAAGACCTAGAGATGAAGGTGATGCTGCAGTGAAAATAAGTCAGTTTTAACATCGCTCCAGGAGTCTGACAGGGAAGAAAAGGACTCTAGTCTGACCTGAGAGTTCCCCTTCTCCTGGAGGGAGTCCATGCACCCAGCATCTAGAGCACCAGTGCTCCTGCTTGGACTCCTGGTTTCCAGGAGGTTCCAGTATGTGAATCAATCAACAAGCATTAATTAAACACTTCCTAAGTGCTAGGCACTGAAGACACGAAGACAAAAACCCAGCAAGCTTTGCTCTCCAGGAGCTCACATTCTGCCTGGGGAGACAACACAGACCCAGATAAATGAACACAAAATGTAATTAAAATAAAGAGTCCCAGAGAACACTTCACAGAGAATCTGTGCTCATTTTCCTGAAGCTGCCCTGACTCTGAAGCTTACTTCTCATGCTTCCCCTCCTCTCACCTCTGTTCCAGTCAAACTTGTCTTCCAACCTCCCAGTCACTTGCCTTTGCACAGGCTGTGCCCCTATGCCCAGGTTATTTTACCAACTTGCCTTTCCCTCTGACATTCCTTAGGTACCAACTCCAGTGAAAAAACATTCCTCATTCTGCTAGTTACTAGTGATGTTTCCTTCCCCAAATTGCCTATGTTCATTCCTTTATATGCACTACAGATGCCACTTGCCCTGTAGAATGTAACCTCTTGGAAGGGAGGGGCTGTTTTGGTTGTTTCCTTTTTGTGTCCTCAGCACCCAGAATGGTGCCCTGTCTTGTAGGGTCTTAATAAATGTTGATTGAACTGAATCAAATTGAATTATTCAAAGTCAATATGAAGGGAGGTCAGTAAAATCTGGCAGTTGGCATAAAACCAGGTGGAATTCATGATGTAAAACCTCAGGTTTTTGTATATTCATGTACAGGGCAATGAGACTCTTACCTACAACAGACTTACCTGTGAACAAGTCAGGAGAAAGCCACATGGCTCACTCTAATTGATTAATCCAATTGATAAATTCATATCAAAGAATATGAATAGGCATTTTTATCTTTTTGAATATTTTATTTTTTCCAATTACATGTAAAGACAATTTTTTACATTCATTCAAAAATATTTTTACTTCCAAATTCCTTCTATCCTCCTCTTCCCTCTTGTCTGAGACAGTAAGCAATTTGATATCAGTTATCTATATGTGATCATGCAAAGCACATTTCTATAATAACCACATTGTGAAAGAAGACAGAGACCCAATAAGAAAAAAATGAAACAAAGAAAAAAATGAAAAATAGCATGCTTTGAGTTGCATTCAGACTCCATCAGTTTTTTCTGTGGCGGTGGACAGCATTTTTCATTAGAAGTCCTTTGGAATTGACTTGGATCATTTTACTGCTGAGAATATAGCTAAGTCATCACAGTAGATCATTCGACCATATTGCTATTACTTTGCTCAATGGTCTCCCAATTCTTCTCACTTCACTTTGCATCAGTTCATTTGTATCTTCCAAGATTTTTTCTGAAACCACCCTTCTGGTCATTTTTATTATTATTATTTAAATTGGAATTGGTTCTCACTTTGACAAGGCATTTGTTGATCAGAGCTTTCATGACCATTTATTTTTAAAAATTAATTAATTTGCTTATTTTTACTTTTCAACATTCACTTACACAAGATTTTGAGTTCCAAATTTTCTCCCCATCTCTACCCTACCCAACCCCAAGATGACATGCACTCTGAATACCTGTTGCCCCAATCTGCCATCCTTTCTATTACCCTCACGTCTCTTATCCCCTTCCCCTCATATTTTCCTGTAGGGCAGGATAGATTTCTATACCCCATTGCCTGTATGTCTTATTTCCCTGTTGCATGAAAAAACAATTTTTATCATTCATTTTTTAAAACTTTGGGTTCCAAATTCTCTCCCTTCCTCCCTCTCCACCCACCCTTATTGAGAAGGCAAGCAATTCGATATAGGTTATACATGTGTAGTCATGCAAAGCACTTCAAATTATGAAAGACTAACTGTATTTCCCTGCACCCTGTTCCACCCCCTGTTTATTCTCTTCTCTCCTTTGTCTCTGTCCTTCCTTAAAAGTGATTGCTTCTGTTTACCCCTCCCCCAATCTGCCCTCCCTTCTATCATCCTCCCCCTTCTTATCCTCTTCCCCCCTATTTTCCTGTGGGGTAAGATAGATTTCCAAACCCAAATTGAGTGTGTGTGTTATTCTCTCCTTGTGCCAAATCTGATGAGAGTTGGATTCAGTCATTCCCTCTCAACTCTCCCTTCTTCCCCTCCACTGTAAAAGCTTTTTCTTGCTTTTTTTATGTGAAATAATTTACCCCATTTTACCTCTCCCTTTCTCCTTCTCCCAGTACAATCCTCTTTCACCCAATAATGTTATTTTTTAGATATCATCCCTTCATATTCAACTCACCCCTGTGCCCTCTGTCTACATATATATACATATATATGTGTGTATATATATATATATATATATATATATACATAATATTCCATCTAACCACCCTAATACTGAGAAAGGTCTCATGAATTACAAATATCATCTTTCCATGCAGGAATGTAAACAGTTCAACCTTAATAAGTCTCTTATGATTTACTCTTTCCTGTTTACCTCTTCACGTTCCACTTGAGTCTTGTATTTGAGAATCAAATTTTCTATTCAGCTCTGGTCTTTTCATCAAGAATGCTTGAAAGTCCTCTATTTCATTGAATGACCATTTTTTCCCCTGAAGAATTCTACTCAGTTTTGCTGGTTAGACAATTCTTGGTTGTAATACTATCTCCTTTGCCCTCTGGAATATTATATTCCATGTCCTGTGATCCCTTAATGTAGAAGCAGCTAAATCTTGTGTTATCCTGATTGTGTTTCCACAATATTTGAACAGTTTCTTTCTGGCTGCTTGTAATATTTTCTCCTTGACCTGGGAACTCTGGAATTGGGCTACAATATTCCTAGGGGTTTTCCTTTGGGAGCTCTCTTTCAGGAGGAGATCGGTGGATTCTTTCAATTTCTATTTTGCACTCTGGTTCTAAAATATCAGGGCAGATTTCTTTGATCATTTCTTGAAAGATGATGTCTAGGCTCTTTTATTGATCATGGCTTTCAGATAGTCCAATAATTTTTAAATTCTCTCTCCTGGATCTATTTTCCAGGTCAGTTGTTTTTCCAATGAGATATTTCACATTGTTTTCTAATTTTTCATTCTTTTGGATTTGTTTTACAGTGTCTTGATTTCTTATAAAGTCACTAGCTTCCAATTGCTCTACTCTAATTTTTAAGGAAGTATTTTCTTCAGTAAGCTTTTGGACTTCCTTTTCCAGTTGGCCAATTTTGCTTTTCAGGGCATTCTTTTCCTCATTGGCTTTTTGGACCTCTTTTGCCATTTGGGTTAGGCTATTTTTTAAGGAGTTATTTTCTTCAGTATTTTTTTGGGTCTCCTTTAGCGAGCTGTTGACTTGTTTTTCATGATTTTCTTGCATCACTCTCAGTTTTTCCTCTACTTCTCTTACTTGCTTCTCAAAATCCCTTTTGAGCTCTTCCAAGGCCTGGGACTGATTTATATTTTTCTTGGAGGCTTAGGGTGCAGGAGCTTTGACTTTGTTGTCTTCTTCTGGTTATATGTTTTAATCTTCTTTGTCACTAAAGTAAGATGATATAGTCTGACTCTTCTTGCGCTGCTTACTCATGATCCTGGCCAATTGCTTCGGTTTTAAACTCTTTGTTAAGGTAAAAGTCTGCTTCCAATGTGGAGAATGTGCTGTCCCAAGCTTCGGGGGTTTGTATAGCTGTTTTCAGAGATACTTTTAGGGATCTGAAAATTTTCAGTTCCACCAAGGTGCTATGATAAGGGATGAGGTGTTTTCTCGCCACCACCACAACAAGCTCCACCACACCAGCGTTCCACCTCGCCCCAGGACCGCCCCTCAGAACTGTGACCCAGATCCAAATACTGGTAAAGCAAGAGATTCCTCCCTCAGCACTGGCAAAGAGATCCCTGAAATCCCCCTCTGATCAGTTGCTTGATCCCCCCACTGTCTGTGGGTCAAGAGTTCCAGAAACAGTTGTCACCCTGGGGCCACTCCAGGGATGGGGCCAGACAACACTCTTCTCTCAACCAGGTCTGACAGACCTTTCCTATTGATCTTTTAAGTTGTCTTTGGTATTTGTGGGTTGAGAAGTCTGGAAACTGCCACAGCTACCTGTGATTCAGTCCTCTGAGGACTGGTCTTGGTTTGCTGGGTCCCCATCTTTGCCCGCACAGCCCATACTGAACTGTGCTCCTCTCACAGCCTGGCGCAACAGACAGTTCCCATTAACCATCCAGGTTGTCTTGGACTGGAAATTTGTTTCACCCTGTCTTTTTGTGGGTTTTGCTGCTCTAGAATTTGTTTAAAGTCATTTTTACAGATATTTGCAGGGATTTGGGGGAGAGCTCAAGCAAGTCACAGCTTTTACTCCACCAATTTGGCTCTGCACCTCCCCCCAGTCATTTCTTATAGTACAACAGTATTCCATCACAATCATATACCACAACTTGTTCAGCCATTCTCTAATTGATGGACATCTCCTCAATTTCCAATTCTTTGCCACCATAAAAAGAGGTACTACAAATACTTTTGTACAAATAGGTGCTTACCCTCTCTTTTAATCTCTTTGTTATACAGACCTAGTAATGGTATTGCTGAATCAAAGGGTATGCATGTTTCATAGCCCTTTGGGCATAGCTCCAGATTGCTCTCCAGAAT